ATTACAGTTTAGTGTGTATTCGTGACTTGTCCTAAATTTACACATAGAGTTATGGGTATTTGTGGTGTACTGGTGAGATTTTTTGTTGTGTTTTTCATGTCTTGGCCCAAAAAGATAGATATAGTCCAAACATTTATGATCCAGTGGTTCGATGAGGTTCTGTCGAAGATCAAGGAAATTCTATAGTTGTTATTTTATTTATAATTCTTGAATACTTTAAAATTTAGCAATATATTTACTTTTGGTATTTCATGTAAATGTAACTTAAAGAACAATCTATTTCATGTGGCGTGTACCTTAAGGATGTGATCGATCATAGATGACCATCAATATAAACAACTGTATACAAATAGATAAATGAAATAAGCAAACTAAATGACATTACTTTAAAAAACCTATACTATTGGTCATAACGAAAATTAGTGGGAACGGATGTTTCCTAAATTTATGCATACATACATACATACATACATACAGGCATATATATATATATATATATATATATATATATATATATATATATATATATATATATATATATATCGGGGGTGCGTATCTGAATGGCTAGAATTTTCGATTTACAGCCAAGAGATCCAGGCTAGATTTGCCAGGGAGGTGACTTAAGTTTTTCACCCTAGCAGACGAATTTGCTCGGAAAACAAGTAACCAGAAAGTATGTATTGAGTGAGTGCTGGTACGATGTATGCCTTTCTTCTTAAATGTTGGGCAGCCACATCTTCTCAGATGTCTAGCAGTCAACTCGAGATGCTAAGCGCTTATGAGAACAGCAATTTGTCCAAAGGCTACAACAATGAACTCTGATAAAACAGACTTTCTGAGTTTTTATAAACGTCATGGCAGTAGACACGAGATTTATCTGCCTCATATGAATATAATTCTCCTGGGCTTGTGACAGAAATGTAATTGTATGCAGACTGGAATAAAAAAAACTTTAGCAAAACATATCAAATACAAAATAATTTTCTGATACGACTTGTAAAAAAAAACGATCGGATTATCTGATAGTATCGATTTATTTGACAATGAAATAAATTAGCTTGAACAAGTTTTTTTTTTCTGTTATATTTACATACATACACATACACACAAGCTAATATTCACAAACTGTATATATAGAGAGATATATGTAGATAGATCTGCCAAAAAGTGAAACTTTGTAAGAACCAGGTTGCAAATTTACCGCAATTGATCTAGCAACCAAAGCATTTTCTATACATTTCGCCCCAGTAAATAAATTTTTCTTTTAATTAAAGTAACATTTTTAAAATCGAAATTATCATCAGAGTCATTACGTGGACGGATAATGTATTGTTTTGTAAAAGATTTCTTTTGTGTTCATATAATATTTCATTTACGTTCCTCGTGGTTTCTCCTATGCATTACTTGTGGCAATCTTTACAGTTATACAGTAAATTCCGGCTCCAAGTCTTATGTTAATATTAATTTGTAATAATAATTTTGGTTTCCTCCAAAAAGGTACTCAATTTGTGATTCCTATACCTTCTTGAATCTTTCTTTTTTCTAACCCATGTTTTTAATTTCATTTAGTATTTTGCTTAAACCGTCAATCTTTATAAGATAATAAACATTAATATTTTTTAAAGTTTTTACACATTAATCTTCTTTGCAAGTCAATAAAGACTGCATTTATTGTCATCTAAAGAGGACATTTTTAGAGAATACCCTGGACATAAACTAGAATATATTATATAAAAAATATGTATTGAAAATAATAATCTAAAAAAAACAAACTGGGAAAGAAAAAATTATATATATATATATATATATATATATATATATATATTATATAGTTAATGGTCAGAGTTGAATCAGACCAGGACACAGTAGTATTAAAAAGTGCTCAATACTGGAGAAATAATGACATTATCGTATCTAAAGAATCTTTTGAACCGGAACTCAGAAGTCATGAGTCCTTGCATATATACTAAAAAATTTATCTTAAGTACATAATATGCTGCTGAAAAAAAAATGTTCAGTTCAATTACCCCCACACACCGATACATTGATAAAGCCCTTGCTTTTCTTCTATTTTACCTTCTTATTATTATACCTCTTCCTTCTTTACATCCTCCTCCTCCTTTTCTATCACACCCAACGTCGTGCGTTTGTTTATTTATTTTTTTTAAAATTGTATAACATTCATTATTTTTTAAAATAAAGCGTTAAAAAGTCATTTGATAAAAAACGCCTGAGGTTGAACGCAAGGTAGCAGATTTAACTGATCTCCTAATTTTTTATATATATATATATATATATATATATATATATATATATATATATATATAACAAGATATGTGCATTCCATTCATGAGTCTATAGGCACACACTAGTGAAGCTCATACTGGCATACACTATAGACATACACTTGTGTGTGTTGTAACTGAGCCAATAGACATAGACTAGCTAGGCTTATTTTGTAGATTATGGGTATACACTCGTTTGGTTTCTACTTGAGCCTATAAACATACAGTTGTAGCTATTATTCATAAATCTATAGGCAAAAGTTGATCGGTATTATACTTGGGTTTATAGGTAAATATTGGCTGGGCTTATATATAAGTCAACTATTAAGCAATTCTCAACTCTATATTGAGTATGAAGGTAAAAATTGGCTACACCTGTATTGAGTAGAAAGGTACAAATTGGCTAAACCTATATTGAGTAGAAAGGTAAAAATTGGCTGCACCTATATTGAGTAGAAAGGTAAAAATTGGCTACACCTATATTGAGTAGAAAGGTAAAAATTGGCTACACCTATATTGAGTAGAAAGGTAAAAATTGGCTACACCTATATTAAGTAGAAAGGTAAAAATTGACTACACCTATATTGAGTGGAAAGTAAAAATTGGCTACACCTATATTGAGTAGAAAGGTAAAAATTGGCTACACCTATATTGAGTAGAAAGGTAAAAATTGGCTACACCTATAGTTAAGTTTTAAAGGATCCACTCAGGATATGTCTCTCTTGTGGATACAAGAGATTCAGAACAGAAAAATTACAGCTGGATGTTTGTGTTAAAAATTAGCGATTAAGATCATAGACATAACTTGTGCTTGATATATATGTTAAACTGAACACAAGGCTGCAAGACAAATTGTTTCATTGTGAATAGTCTGCAAAACAAGTTCGCAATCCTCCCATTCCAGAGAAAAAAAACACCACTATCAATCCTCTGTTGTGTAGTTGTGTTGAATGCAATCACCCCGCTCTAAAAATAAATTCCTAACACCTTCACTACAACATTGATTTCCTTGTAATCTATTCAATCGTTATAAACGTTCTATTTCTTTTCCTGATGTTACAGCAATCGGCACGACTCAGATAATTACAGTTTTCAGGAGGATGTAATATTAACAATGTTTGTTATTTTTTATATATATAAAAGAGTTTCAGCAATTGTATTTTATCATAATTAGTTATCCTAACGAAATTTCAGTTGATTATTGTGTCTCGTATTTATTTATGCAGATGTCAATGTGAAAAAAAATAACTAATTCCACATATTTTCAAAATATTTTCTACTAGAATTCGAACTAAGGAATCACGACGGAAAATATGAACAAAAAACTCAGTAGACGTTCATGATTAGCAAAAATGACTTCCAGAAATCTCCTCACAGTTGAAGAGTCTTGAAGCGACGAAGATGTGCGGTCTGTAGATGGAAACTGAGAATACCAGGGATAAAACATTCAAGCAAAAGCGTTTTTACTTAAAATATAGGGACAATTATAGAGAGAAAGAGAGACAAGGGAAAACAACGCATGACATACCTAGCGGCTTTAAGCAAGTGGATGACAGAATGTGGTATGTGGGGGGGGGGGGTAACAGAGGGGAGGAACGTGTTGAGAGCTGCAAGGGATAGAAAGAGGTGGAGGGCCATGATCGCCTAAGTCATGAAAGAACATGGCACATAAAAAGGAAGAAGTAAAAATAAGAACTAGACAAGATGTCCCTAGATATGAACGGTGGAATGACAGTCTGCCCTCGTAGATTAAATAAAAGGAGGTCGGGTGGTACAATTGCCGAAACGTTGTGACAACAACAACAAAGATCAGAGCAACGGTCCGAATGGAAATAGATATTTGTTAAGCCTGTTAGAAACTGGTTGTAAGCTGGATCGACTGAAACATATTGACGATAAGTTCTGCAATACAATGATTTGCTTTTTCTTTTATCGCAGTAATGATTACTCTCTACAAGGCTTGTGGTCACTCGATGTAGAGGGTTACAGTAGGAGGCAGTTTGCACGTATAGGAGGCGACGGTAATTGTTGACCCTAGACTTGAACACGGTAAGATTGTTTTGATCGGGGAAACATCCTCTTGAGAGTCGGTTTCACGGAGGAGGGGTTCGCGGGGTATAAGCTGTTCAAGTGGGTGGTTTGCAACAATGTAACTGGCATGGCGGATCCTTACCGTGAAGATTGGATCTGGAGGAACCAAGAAATGTAGCCTGTTAGAGAATTGTTGTATGTCGGGGCGGAAAATAATTTGTCATCCACGGGGAGTCAGAGACGCTTTTGGACTCTATCGAGACTGCAAAGTTCGGTCAAGACAGCTCCCGCTCATATATGACAAAAGTACTCTATTTTGGGCCTGATCTGGCTCAGGTAAAGGTAAAGGATAGCACGTGGTGTCAAGTACTTACTGGAGCTGTACAGCTAACCACCATTTTACTTGCATCTATAGCGATGGCTGGTAAGTACGATGGTAAGTACGATGGCTGGTAAGTACGATGGCTGGTAAGTACGAGTACAACAACAAAGATCAGAGCAACTTATATATCTTATATATCTATCTATCTCAAGTCACGGTTCCTCTCCGATGGGAAATCCGTTCATCGTAACTGGCGTTAGTTCTGGGTCCGATCGACCATGACGGAATGTAAAAAGTTTTGTTTTCGTAGTTCGAACAAATCTTAAAATGTTAATGTCTCTTTAAGATTATAATTACGAACAATGAAGCGAAATAAGTTTTCTATCCAACATATTAGTAATTGGGGGTGCTCGGAAAGAGAGAAAATTTTCAGTTTGAAACACTTATTATATGCCTTAGTATATCCGGGTGGATTGATTGATTTGTATTTTTTTAAGGCTTATCCACCATTTGCAGGTTATTTAAAGCCAGAATTTTTAAATTGTAAGAATTGGGGGATGGGGAGAAAAGCTCGCAGCAGAAGAGGTTGAATCATACTTTTCCCCATGTTTTCTTTTGCGTAAATATATGTAACGAACCCGAATAAATTGACCGAGTTCCAGTTCCGAGCTACAATGGACGGGAGGACAAAAACAGGTAAAAGAAAGGATTGGCAAATATACAATGTTCACAAAGAGATTTCATATACCGCTTTCATACAATATATTGTATAAAATTATTGATGTACTGTCCCAGTTTGACCCACACAGAGAAGCTATAACACATATGAAAACAACAAGCAGTATGAAAGGTGAAATATCAAGAGGATCTTCTAATATTTCCAGAAAGGGAAATGGGAAGGCTGCTGGCATACTCTTTGTTCCTTGCTGGGTCAAAGTGGTTTCTGATAATTCGCTCTACCGCTATGGGCCTATGAGATCTACATTGCAATTCTGGTTTATTATCGTCAGTGGACAGACATGACGTGACTGCCCGGCTGTTACGTAAACCTCGTGACTTCCTTCTACCAAGAGTCACAGTTTGTATATATTTCTCTGTCTCTTTCAGTCTGTTTCTTATCTGTCTATCTCATTCTGTTACTTATCTCTCTATCTCAGTCTGTCCATTATCTTTATCTATATATCTATCATTCTATCTCAGTTTGTTCATTATCTATCTCAATTTGTTGCTTATCTATCTATCTATCTATCTATCTATCTCAGTCTGTTTCTTATCTATCTATCTATCTATCTATCTATCTATCTATCTCAGTATGTTTCCTATCTATCTATCTATCTCAGACTGTTTCTTATCCTTATCTATATATCTATCATTCTATCTCAGTTTGTTCCTTATCTATCTCAATGTGTTGCTTATCTATCTATCTAAGTATGTTTCCTATCTATCTATCTATCTATCTCAGTCTGTTTCTTATCTATCTATCTATCTATCTATCTATCTAAGTATGTTTCCTATCTATCTATCTATCTATCTATCTATCTATCAATCTATCTCAGTATGTTTCTTATCTATCTATCTATCTATCTATCTATCTATCTATCTCAGTATGTTTCTTATCTATCTATCTAGCTAGCTAGCTATCTATCTCAGTATGTTTCTCATCTATCTATCTATCTATCTATCTATCTATCTATCTATCTATCTATCTAAGTATGTTTCCTATCTATCTATCTATCTATCTATCTATCTATCTATCTCAGTATGTTTCTTATCTATCTATCTATCTATCTATCTATCTCAGACTGTTTCTTATCCTTATCTATATATCTATCATTCTATCTCCGTTTGTTCCTTATCTATCTCAATTTGTTGCTTATCTATCTATCTATCTAAGTATGTTTCCTATCTATCTATCTATCTATCTCAGTATGTTTCTTATATATCTATCTATCTATCTAAGTATGTTTCCTATCTATCTATCTATCTATCTATCTATCTATCTCAGTATGTTTCTTATCTATCTATCTATCTATCTATCTCAGTATGTTTCTTATCTATCTATCTATCTATCTATCTATCTAAGTATGTTTCCTATCTATCTATCTATCTATCTATCTATCTATCTATCTATCTATCTATCTATCTATCTCAGTCTGTTTCTTATCTATCTATCTATCTATCTATCTATCTATCTATCTATCTCAGACTGTTTCTTATCCTTATCTATATATCTATCATTCTATCTCCGTTTGTTCCTTATCTATCTCAATTTGTTGCTTATCTATCTATCTATCTATCTATCTATCTATCTATCTATCTATCTCAGTATGTTTCTTATCTATCTATCTATCTATCTATCTCAGTCTGTTTCTTATCCTTATCTATATATCTATCATTCTATCTCAGTTTGTTCCTTATCTATCTCAATGTGTTGCTTATCTATCTATCTATCTATCTATCTATCTCAGTATGTTTCTTATCTATCTATCTATCTATCTATCTATCTATCTATCTATCTATCTATCTCAGTATGTTTCTTATCTATCTATCTATCTATCATCTATCTATCTATCTATCTATCTATCTATCTCAGTATGTTTCTTATCTATCTATCTTTCTATCTATCTACCTCAATTTGTTAATATCTATTTTCTGTCCTATTTCTTTTCTTTTCTCTTTTAACGGAACATTATGATTCAGTATATCCATTTCTTCTTTACTGGACCGACGTGGTTTCCCTTTGTTCGCTCTAGCGCGAGGGCCCATGAGGACGTCTATCTTCCGAGCGGTCTGCATTGCAATTCAGGTTCGTCACCCGTCGAACTGACATCACTCACCGTAACCCACGTGACTTTCTTCTACAAAAGGGGAGATAATTGCCCTTTGCGACGCAACAGTAAGAAAAGCCTTTGACATTTATATTTCCCTGCTGCGAGTGGGAGCCTGTTTTAACCATCCATTGTCACTGTTGGGTACGCAGGGACTGAGCATCGCTGTTTCCATTTGGTAAGTAAATATCTCTGCCCAGTAAAACCTTGCACGCGATGTCAAGTTTCATGAAGATGAAGGTAAAACTTGTCTGTCAATACAAATTCCTCTTTTTCTCGCTCGCGATATTTCTTCGGACGTCAAATATATTTCTATACCAAGAGACACGAAAGCAAATACGTCCATGAATGTGAATAAACTGTCATCTATTTGCTAATTGAAGTGGTTCGAGGAACTTACGAAATGTCTGTATCGATTATATTTCGTAATGGCTAACAATAAAGAAACAAAATGTTCACTGAATACATTTGAATCAACATACCGTAATTGCTTCTTCTTCATATGGCAGTGTACTGTCGCTCACTTTCGCGATATATCAGCCTACAGTTTATTTGTACTTATCTATCTATATATCTGTCTATATATACATCAAAATCTCTGTATATTTACCTCAGTGAATACATATGTAGCTTTGTATTTGCCTCAGTCAGTTCATATCTATCTAAGCCTGTTCATATCTATTTATCTCTCAGTATTTTCCAATCTATCTATCTATCTATATATATATATATATATATATATATATATATATCAATCTGTTCGTATCTATCGATCTTTCTCAATCTGTTCATATCTATCTATCTATCTATCTATCTATCTATCTATCTCTTCCAGTGTGTTCATACTTTTACACCTCTCTCGATATCAGTCTGTTCGTATCTTTCTATCTACCTCAGTCTGCTCATATCGTTCTATCTGTCCGTTTATATATTTCTATCTGTCTGTTCATATCTATCCATCTATCTCTCAGGCTCTTCTTATCTATCTATCTATCTATCTATCTATCTATCTATCTATCTATCTATCTCTCACTATATATATATTTCAGTCTGTTCATATCTACTTATCTATCTGTTTATCTATTTCAGTCTGTTCGTATCTATCTATCAATCTATCTATCTATCTATATATATATATATATATATATATATATATATATATATATATATATATTTCAGTCTGTTCATATCTACTTATCTATCAGTTTATCTCTATCAGTCTGTTCGTATCTATCTATTTATCTATCTATCTATATATCTATCTATCTATCTATATATATATATATATATATATATATATATATATATATATATATATATATTCATATCGATCTCAGTCTGTCCCGTATCTATTCCAGTCTGTTCATATCTATCTAGCTGTCGCTTCATATTTATGTATCTATCTCAGCCCGTTTATATTTATCTATTTTTTCCATTTCTTTTCTCCCTATTTTACTTGTAACATTATGACTCAGTATATCCATTTCTTTTTTCTTTTTTTTTCATTTTAAATATCCGCCAGTTTCTCTTTACTAAAATGCATTTTTGTATCTATTCGTCCTCTTTCTTCCGTCTCTCTTTTATAGCATTCTTTCTTTTCTTTTCATTCTCTAAGCTCTGTACTCAATTTTTCCTGTACGTTCGTAGAAATACAACGTTAGAAATGGGATTGTCAGTAATAAACAAGAAAGGCAAATAAGTGGGTAACGATATGAGTTGTCATTTAAGGGCTAACATCTTTCAGTTTGTCCAGAAGATGCTGTCAAGAATACAATTGACTGCTATACACGAAATTTAGCCCACAAAAGCCGTATAAAAAGACAGCATTATTACTGTCGCCAATTCTTCCCAACAACACACGATCACTTTTTCCGTCACTGACAAACACACACAAAGCAGGCGCCATTGTATATTTGACAGTGATGACTATATAGAAGGCACATATTCTTTTACGTGACCGTTTCTCCAAGATATGGACAATTATGGCTCTCCCCAACTTCCTCTCTTTTGTTGCTCTAACTGCTCACATCCTCTTATTGCATGTCATCATTTGTCTCTTGCCTTTATTGATAGCGTGAAATTCTTCCGACCCTGTGACCTCATCATGTGTCGGAGAAATTTCAACTGACGATTTCGTATTGTAGATATAAGTATTCTTTTAGTACCTATTTGCTTTGAGTCTGTCTCATTTCTTGTGTTTCCAGTAATCGTCTCTAGAGTCACGTTTCTGAAGCGCCAAGTATTTTTTTTTATGTGAGGAAAATTGTCCATCATATAGCTGATTAGATATTCTATAGTGTGCAAAGACATTTTATAGTATCTTTACATTTCCTTTAGTTTCTGGGAAATACATCTCTCCCTTCCTATAGGTCTTATAAATTCTGATTCTACACTAACAAGGTAAATTTCTGTTCTTGCTTTATTTTCCACGAGATCCCATATTGTGATCTCTCGCACACAAGATAAAAAGCGATTATAAAATTGAAAGATTGTGCATATTTCTTTTGAATTGCATGTACAACATTTTTCTATCT